TATTAATATTTGTGCTTCCATATGGTTCTGAATCATGTGCTTGAAAGAGCCCTGGTAAAACTATGAACTGATTGCATTGTCTGGTCTGGTTATTCTACAGATGTTTCTAAACTCAAACATGTGTCCTGAAATCCATGGGTACCTCCATGCCAAAGAACAGGGGAAGAAGTTTTGGAAGAAGTCCTACTTTGTCTTGAGGAGATCCGGGCTCTACGTATCAAACAAAGGGGAGTCAAAGGTCAGTCACCACGCTAGATGAGTCCTCCAATAGTGACAACTTTGTGTTTAAAATCAATCTGTTTTATCTGTTCGAGCTAACCTTCCTACAACATGAGAGAGCTGTTCCCATGTATTCTCTGTAAGATAAATGTCTTATGCCTTCTCTTTGGCTGTGATATAACACATTTTTATGCATGTCATTTTTCTGAGAGAAAAGAGGTTTCATTTATGACACGGAAAACCTAAATATAGTCAATAATTTCCTTTGTGTTAGTAATGACGGTTCTCTCAAGCAGTAGAACTGAATGTAGGTCAAACCCGGTGCACTGAGGCTGACTGTGCCGCCTGTGAGTGTGTCATGCAGTGGTCTGTGCTGCGGTGGAGCCGGTCGGGCCGGGTTTCATGCCGGGCATCTGGCCCGCCAGAGACTGAGCCTCGAGCGCCACAGACAGGTGACGCATATGCTGCGACCTGCATGTCACCAGTCAGTCCCACATTCAGCGTTTTCACCAACAAAAGGCCCTTTGTTCAGGATCCAGGAAGGGCCTCGTCTATATGCATAATCGAAGAGGGCGGACGAGTCGTACGTGACTTTTTTAACTGCGCTTGTACAGTCATGTGTCATTATCATGCTGTCAGTCAGAAGTGTCATTTACAGCGCCGTACAAACACACCTGCCGATTTCACTTACGTATGGGGAAACAGTCCTTTTTTTTCCATGAACAAGAGCTTGCTTGTTTATTTTTAGGACGTGCAGCAGAAGTGTCTGTGCTGAATAATTGAACCTGCTGTCAGTATTCCCTTCGGCCTGTCCATGGCCTTAGGTGTGCAGCTGAAGCGTCAGATGATGCTGGATTCTATGTGCTTTGGCTCAGTGTGTTACACAGTTTGCATTTCCTTTAGACAAGCAGGAGATGTGAGGGTGGTGCAATGTGGCTCTGGGCTATTGAGCAGGCCTCTCACAGCATGCATTACGGAACAATAAATTATAGTAAAAAATGTATTTTGTCCATATCTGTCTGTATATATTAGGATTATATATAGATATATCTGTGTGGGATATGCTCCCTTTGCATGGCTGAGTTGAGCTGGATTGGAGTTCACTTGGCTGAGTTGGACCTATGGTTCACTTGGCTGGGTTAAAACTATAGTTCACTTGGCTGAGTTGGACCTATGGTTCACTTGGCTGGGTTGAAACTATAGTTCACTTGGCTGAGTTGGAGCTATAGCTCACTACACTGGGTTGGAGCTATAGTTCACTACGCTGGGTTGGAGCTACAGTTCACTTGGCTGGGTTGGAGCTATAGCTCACTATGCTGGGTTGGAGCTATAGTTCACTACACTGGGTTGGAGCTATAGTTCACTACGCTGGGTTGGAGCTATAGTTCACTTGGCTGGGTTGGAGCTATAGTTCACTATGCTGGGTTGGAGCTATAGCTCACTATGCTGGGGTGGAGCTATAGTTCACTTGGCTGGGTTGGAGCTATAGTTCACTACACTGGGGGTTGGAGCTATAGCTCACTACGCTGGGTTGGAGCTATAGTTCACTACGCTGGGTTGGAGCTATAGTTCACTAGGATGATTTGGAGCTAAACATGTGAATTATCTGGTCCCCCCCACCCCACTCCATCATTCAAACAAAGCTTCAGTATGAAACTGATGCGTCCAATAAATGTCCTTCTTTTTATGTCACCAAGGAGCCCAGACATCTCCAGTTCATCGCTGAGTTTAGCGACAATGACGTCTACACTCTACTTTCAGCAAGAAAGATGCATGGAGCGCCAACAGACTATGGATTTTGCATCAAGGTATTTGATTTTCAGTCTCTTCTTTATTCCCCCTTTTTGCCCACACAAACTAAAGAGGGCATTGAGCATCATTGCAGACTCTCTGCTCAGCGGCCAGGGGAAGTGGCCACACACAACTCCTCTGATTCACGTGGTTTCTATCCTTTACTGGTTTCCCCTCTGTTTTTCTCTCTCTTTTGAGTGGCCACAAGTACCATCTTCTCTGTCTCCATCTCATCCAGCCTCAGCTCCCTAGTATGGATACTGAAAGTAAAACTGTGGCAGTAAATACAGAGGGTCAGAAACAGATACCTTATGTTTTATGGAATTTTAACAATACAGCTTGTTGTTTGAGATAGCGGATTTAAGCCTCAACCATAACTGTAATCTTATGTGAGATGTTTAGCGTTGTAAAGAGATGTTGTAAAGACTGTCTGGGACACTCCGTAATGAACTTGGTAACACTGGTAAAACATAAAGTCATATTGGGACAGGAACAGGCTCAGTTTAATTGAACATAACTGATGTTATGCTATGTTATGGGTATGTAGTAAAATATGTAAGTGCTGCTTCACTTGCACTGCCCTTTGAACATCAGTTAAACTTCAGATAGAAAAACCTCACAGGAATGAAACGGGAGAGAAAGGAAAAAACAAAACAATGATGGAGGGGTAGCTGAAACTCTGGTCTGAGTGCTTGTTGTGTGCATAAAGCAGTATAATGCAGTTTTCCCCTCTTTTCTCCTAAAGTTTGAAATGCTCATTTGCATTCACAAGTTGCACTCAACGCTGCAACCTCTTCTTTTTATAAGGGAGATGGCAGAGCACAGACAATCACACATTCACATCTGAATATGAGGTAAATGCTTAGCTGCTGCGGGCAGCTATGTTCAGCTGGCTTGCTGATGCATGCTTGGATTTGACACCATACTGAGGGGCACAATGAACAGTGCCCTTATGGGATAAGCCACCCAATACTCCTTTAACAACTGGAAGGCCTAAGACCGCATTCTGCCAGTGAAGTCTATTTCTCTGAGTGTGGACGGGCTAAAAAGTAACAAACAAAATATGAGATGAAGCTATTGTCTGCCAATCATAGGTGAATCGTGAATACTTTGTTTGAATACAATGCTTTGTGGCCTTCAACAGCCTAACAAATCCAGCTCACCCAGGGACCTGAGGCTTCTCTGTGCAGAAGAGGAGCAGGTCCGCACGTGCTGGGTGACAGCCATGCGCCTCTTCAAGGTAATGCCACATCAATGGCACAATGTTGCTGCAACTGTAGTTGTGGTTTCCTGAGCTGTGGACTCAGGACCAACCGGGGTATCATGGGGGGGGGGGGCTGTGTGATAAACAGTGATAAATTTATTCTGCATATAAGACACTTTGCATTGATATTCATATAAATCAGATGGAACACTACACTTTCAATGCTGTGGTAATAACAACGCAAATACAGTTTTTTTGGGAATGTTAAAAACTGTTATGGATCTCCAGTGTCTGGTGACAACTGCGGGTAACATTTTTGTTGCGTGTTTGGTACTTTTACAGTTTCTGGTGATTACTGGGATAGCCATTTATGTTGTGTGTTTGATAGATCTCCGGTCTCTGGTGATTACTGTAGGAAACATTTATGTTGTGTGTTTGTAGTACGGGATGCAGCTGTACCAGAACTTCATCCAGCCACATCAGAAGCAGAGAGACTCACCGATGGTAGGGCTTCTGATTTCCTCTTCGCCTCCAGTGTGCATCACAAACAGGAAGTCATTAGCAAAGGCCTTCCTCCCATTCTCTTAATGGGAGGTCATTTTTTTCATGGCAAAGTCTTGTGCCATTCATTTATGTTTATATTTATAAACTTGGAATGAGTGCATTTGCAGGTGCTTCACCTTAAGCGCCTTTACCCTGAGCTCCTGTAAAAAACCTGTTCATATGCAAGTGCAAATATATTTCACATTAAACAGGCTACACTTCAAAACTGTGGTTAAAAACCATTCTAGAGTATCATTAAACTGTATAATTAAACTGTATAATTTTTCTAATGACTTTTAGGGCATTGTTTAAGGAGGCTTTTTATCATTAAACTTGTTTAAGAAAGCTCCTTGGTTGATACTAAAACAGTGTAATTCTCACCACTGGGAAAAAAAGAGAGAGAGTTTTCAGTCAGGCCCACCCATTTGAAACATAATCCAGCACGGCTAGTTTTGGAGGTCTGTGCGAAGCCGGGCTGCCAGTGGGAATGACAGAGGGTGGAAGATTAGGGCAGGGTGCAGGATCCACTAAGGACCACTGGGGTGAAACGATGGCTGGATGCAGCTGGCTACCCCTGGGCAAGGACTCTGGAAACCTGATTCGCTCCAAAATAAGTTAGTAAACCCAATGGAGGATGTTTTTGCTGAAAATTAATGTGGATGAAAACATTGGCAAAGATCATAAATAATGACATTTTATTTGTTGATATAACTAGTGCCTCAGCAGCCCTGAATGTAGGTGTGGTTCTCAAACGTGTGCATTTAGACCCGCTCAAACAGAGGTCAAACAGACCCTATTGTAAGGGAGCGTAAGCACAGCTGCTGGCCAGAGGCGTTTACTTGGGAGGAGATGTGCAGAAAGAGCGCAGGTGGGACAGCTTATAGGACAGGTAGTTAGAGCCTGCAGACAGGTGTTTCACTGACATTTCATCAGGAGGTCATGTGACAACATCAAGGAGGAGCCAATCTGGTGATAGACATGAGAGCAGTCAGGGACAGGGAACACACCACTTTACAGTAAGAATACTTCTGGTTATTGAATATTCATTGCCATGAGAATAAGAATTATAAGAAGAGATATTCCGTAGCACCACAAATTGATCCGGCTGACATGTGCTAGATTTACTGCACTGAGCTGAACAAACCACTTTGTTTGGTTATGCAATCACAATTAAAACACTTTTACCAGTGTTCTGGGTCATCACCAGAGTGCTATATACTTTAAATGCAGGTGCCACAGGCAACCATGAAGGGACTTAAACCTGCCAGCTTCTGATCCAAAGTCAGACGCCTTATCCATTAGGCCACCACAAACAATGAACTGTTGACTGGTTTCCATCAAAAAACAGTGTACAGTCTGCAGTGCTCCTCGACTTCTGAGAAGTTAACAAAATATCATAACAGAGTAGAAAAGAATTTTGATTTGTCCAATATCAGACAAGTGATCACAACCAATGTGAGGTTCATGAAATTCATGTCATGCTTCCCTTGATTAGAATTCAGCAGTTGAACATAATGCTAACAATCACATGGAAAGCACTTCAGCCACTGTTAGGATTTTCACCAGAGTTCATAGTGTGCTATAGTCTTTAAAAACAGCTTTCAAAGACGACCACGAAGGGACTCGAACCCTCAATCTTCTGATCCGAAGTCAGACGCCTTATCCATTAGGCCACGCGGTCTCCCATGGAGCTGCTGACAAGTTTTGTTAACAAAAATAAAGTATTGCACAGTCTCCATTGCTTCTCATCTTCAAGAGAAATTTATGAAAAAATCATCTGAATATTATACTCTTGTGTTGATTAAAGCTTATTTAAAGAGGAGTTGATCAGGGAAGGAGCTGTAGGAAAGGTAATTTGACAGGCATATGATGTGTTATCACAAGATCAGGGGGCAGCATCAGGGAGGAACCAGCCTGACGATAGACAATGAGGCCCGTCAGTGAAAGGGAACCCACTTCGCTTTATAATAAGAATTATTCTATTTAAAACATATCGTAAGGAAGAGAATGAAGTGAAAGCAGGGGATCACCTCATCCTGCCTGAGAAAATGATTTCCTTTTGTGAAAGATCACAGAAACAAAGGCCAGTAATAAAAAACAGACAGGCTAAAAAGGTGTGGGAGACACTAGAGGGCACAGTTTCACTATCAAAGACTGTCAGTTTTTCTTTGTGTTTTGTTACATCCTTCTCCTGCTATAAATGAAAGAGAAAAAGACTTCCAGGCAGGCCTAATTCTCAGACAGCCCATAAACATTTCCTTTGGCTTGTCTGTATGTGTATCTTCCATTTACCACTATATACTCAAACTCAATTTTTCTCCATCGTTCTGCACCTGCTATGGCAACACACGGTATGATATGGTGTAGGTTGAGCGGAATTCCGACAACAATCATGTTTCATTTCAACAACTGGGTATCCACTCTGTCTGTTGATTAAACCTGTTGGATGGCCTTTGGTACTTTGGATAAAAAAACATCTGCTAATGCCTGTAGGTAGGGGTCGTGTAAGTGTAAGTGTGACGTAAACATCAATGTAATGTTATGATAATGTAACTGTAATGAAGGTATTTATTGAATGGGATTTGACTGTCCTCCCCCCTCCAGAGGAGTATCTCTGAGAACTCTCTGGTGGCCATGGACTTCTCGGGACACAAGAGCCGGGTGATTGAGAACCCTTCGGAGGTGCTTTCTGTGGCAGTGGAGGAGGGACTGTCCTGGAGGGTAAGACCCATGAGTGGTTCCTTCCCCTGCCCCTGCTACTGTCCGCTCCATCGCGCAACAGAGCTCCCAAAATCACACATCAAAGAGCTGAGTGGCATGGGGATTCACCCCAGGGCTTCAGTAAGAGCTGTGCCCCGCCCCCGCTCCCCCGCCCCCCGCTCCCCCTCCCCAAAATCACAAGCAAGTCAAACTGGGTCAAAAAGAGGGGTGATAGGGTTGAAACCCACCTGGTATTTCACTTTCTCCCCCCCTCTTACTCCCCTTTGTCAGCTACACAGGATAGTCACCAGTGCACTAGATTTCTGCAATCCTTCCTTATTACACCAACTGTTAAAAACTGCAGTAAGGAAATGGTTTGGTGTGATCATGCAGAGATACTCTGCTATAACGATACACAATGCTATTGGTGGTTTTTATGGAGACAATCGCTGGCAGTAAGCAAAGGAGACAGTATAGCTGTCTCCCTGCTGGGTTCTCATAAAGCTGAGAACCCAGCAATGAGTTGGTTTTATGCAGAGCAACTGTTTCAAGTGAGAAGGTTCCACCGAGACTTGAACTCGGATCACTGGATTCAAAGTCCAGAGTGCTAACCATTACACCATGGAACCACCCAGGAAAGACATTTTTTTCTCTTCATAACGCTATTGCCTGGTATGCAGCATTCCTTACGTCGGTCGCATAACAGTCACTTTGATCATGTGATCGTATGGCACCAGAAATGAGCACAGTTAGAATATGCTGGGAATACTGGACTGAGCTGAACCAATCGCCATGTTTGGTTGGTTCACAGTCATAACACTGATCATAATAGATTACTTAAAATCATTTTAGTGTTATGCTCTTCTAATGGGTGTGTGAAAAACATAAGATCTGGGTGAAAATGAATTATCATTTTAAAAAGTTTTCAGAAAAAAATGGTAATATTTGAAACTCTGAGCTTTAAGTATGCACACTGCTGTGTAACACTCTTATGTCCTCAGTGTTTTGGTCCTTGTGTGTTTAAACAGCAATATTTACTGCTCTGAAACTCTGTTTGGCCTTCAGAGAAAGAGCTGCCACCGCCTGAGTGCTCATGGAAGTCCGTCCTCCTCCCAGACCTCCATGTCCAGCTTCGGTCAGTAGAACAAAGCCGCCTCTGCCCCAGGGCCAAGGGGCTGGGAATGACCCAACGGCCCAAAGGCTCTGTTCAAATCAGTAAAGAGACGTCCTCAGCCTGAATGCGCTCTAACATGCGGCTCTCTCTGTTAGCGATACACACAACCCAGCCCTGGTTCCACAGCAGGCTGTCCCGGGATGACGCTCATCGGCTAATAGCACAGCAAGGCCTTATCGATGGGTGAGATGGGAGTTTCAGTCAAACATCTGCATTTGGTTGGAATAGATTACACTCATTTCACAGCAATATCCAGTACACTTATCTTGTCTTTTGGTAAATTGGTTGAATTTATAATATACTACTTTCATTGAAATTAATCAAAACAATGATCTAAAAGAAATGAGTAAGATGATAAGGTATTCAATACTTAAACTGCACCTGTGATGTTGGCTCTGTCACTGCCAGTATCAGAAATGTGTTGAAAGCATGCTATGTGATCTTCTGCATATTTACTGTCAGAAGTGTCCCTCTTTGTTCTCAGGGTTTTCCTTTTACGGGACAGCCAAAGCAACCCCAAGACATTTGTCCTGTCACTGTGCCATACCCAGAGGATCAAACACTTTCAGATCCTACCTGTGAGTACTGTGCTTCCCCTTGAATCATTCAGTATGTCGGTCTTTGTGTTCCTCACTACCACACTGAGCGTGTGTGTGACAGCAGAGTGCCCTCCCATGCATGTGTGTGTGTGTGTGTCTGTGTGAGTGTGTGCGCGTGTATGTGTGTGTGTGTGACAGCAGAACACACTTCTTCTTTTGCGTGTGTTTGTGTGTGTGTGTGTGACAGCAGAGCACGCTTCTCCTGTTGCTTGTGTTTGTGTGTGTGTGTGACAGCAGAGCATGCTTCTCCAGTTGTGCAAGTGTGTGTGTATACATGCGATTGTGTGTGTGTGAGAGTATGTGTGTGTATCCATATGTGTGTGTGTGCTTGTTCATTCATATTCGTGCATGCTCTTGCGTGTTTGTGTTTGTGTGTTTGTGCATATAAATTCCCTCATGTCCGTTTATGTGACAGGTGGAGGAGGATGGGGAGCAATTCTTCAGCATGGACGACGGTCAGACACGCTTCAGTGATCTGATCCAGCTGGTGGAATTTCACCAGCTCAACAGGGGCATTCTGCCATGCAGACTGAAGCACCACTGTGCCAGGATCACCCTGTGAGGGCCAGGGGCCTGGCCAGCCTCCCTGTGCGTGTACCAGAGCACCACCACCAGCACGTCCCCTGCCTCGGACAGCAACGGCTGCACAGGCCAAGCAGCTAGTTGTGCCAAATAAGCGCCAAGACCAGCTGCTCTGAGCTGATACCTCCCAGGGACTCATGGGCTCACAGAGACCGGACCATCACATGACACCCCTCTGTTATGGCCTCTGTATTAGCAGCAGAACTGAGTAAATGGCATGGCATCAGAGTAAATGAACTTTTAGTGTGGCAGGGGAAGTGTGTTACATTGTGCCTGCATGTTGCTTTCATATCCAAAGGTTCAACGTTACAATGCTGGTTTACATGTTCCTGTGGGCTGGCCTGATTGGGAAGGCCCTGTACAAACAAAGAGAACAGAGCTGTAAATGTGAAGACCACTTCCTGATGAACATCAGGTACTGTGCTCTATATAGAGTACAGCTGCAGCTGTTTGCATGATATGTTAGCGAGTGTGTGGGTGCATGTTCTCTGTGAGAAAGAATGCCGTGGAATGAATTTGAGCATCGTCTGCAGTTTACTTGTGATCACATGGTCGGAAATGGGAATTTCATAATTCAATATCATTACAATTGGTTAAAAGGTGGTTTAAAAGCTGTGGGCACTGAGTGCAAGATAGTGCAAGTTAAGGAACGTATTTTTTAGGGATTTTTAGGGAATTTTGGCCTGTGCAGAGGGCTTTTCCTTCCCCCTCCTCTTACTGTTGAATATAATCACATGACATTCTGAGGTTACTTGGATACAGGCTTGGTGGGCCATGTGATTATATCTACGTATTCAGGTATTTTCTGAAATGTGCTCCGTATTTTTGTGACATGTATGGCTACTGGAATAAGAATGCAATTGCCACATTTGCTGTAAAATCAGGATTGTGCCTGTTACATTTTCAGGTACATTGACTGTGAACATGCACACACACACACACACACACACACACACACACACACACACACACACACACACACACACACACACACACACACACACACACACACACACACACCCTGACTTATACTGTTTGTTTACATGGAATGTGTGGAAAAATTTCACACTGTGCATTTTCTTCATATCAAGTATTATCATTTTTTTACATTTTATCTGAATGACTTTACAGGTTATTTCCAATATTTGTTTTAAAAATAAAATGAAAAAAGTAACGGGTGCAACCACTGCGAATGAATGTATATGCCATGTCTGTTAGCGACTGCAAATAGTAATTGCAAGTTCAAATTTCATGATAA